GATTAAACAAGTTTACAATAAATCAATTTGATATTTAACGGAATCCTAATTCAATGTGCAGTATGGTTGTCACTCTTTAAATAGATTAGATATAGGTTGACGGGGCAAAGGAGTGTGCGTGCTGTTCGCTATTGCTCACACCAAACGGCAACCTAGTAAATGTTTTGTATGAACACCGGTCTCCATCACGACACAAAATTAGGATTGTAGAATTTATTGTATAACTATTAGTGCAGTGGAGGTAGCGGTGTGGTGCATTAATAGAGTGACAGCCTACTGATTTAGAGTTGTTTTTAAGTGAGCATAATGGGTGTATTTTTGGATCTAATGGCAACTTTAAAATTTGTTCTTTTAATAATTTATTAAATATCAGTTTATGAAATGAAATGAAATGAAATAATGTGCTTGTATACCGCCCATATGGTTAGCAACTGACACAAGTGCCAGGTACTAACCATGTCAGAGCGGTTCTAAAGGGTGAGGTGAAAATATCCAGCAACAAACAACTAAATCATCTCAAAAACAAATCTATTTAGGAAAAATTAAAACTTTAAATATATCATATAGTAATCATAGGAAGATTTATTGATATATACCACACTACGATTAACAATAAACCACCAAAAAAAACTCTTCAAAAGTAACATAATTTACTTATAGGAATCAAAAGAAGGATTATTAATATGTTAATACACATTGCACTAATAAATAAAGATACACCCTACAACAAATCATAAGACCAAAGAAAAAACAGCACTAATCACATACGGTCATATAAATAATGTTTAAGGGTACCTTTGAAACTGTCTACGTTGCGTAGTGATCGTATCTTCCAGGGAAGTGAGTTCCAAGCAGTTGGTGCGTAGTTGGTGAATCGACGTTGATCAATCTTACTATTTGTAGTTTTAGGAGTCTTTAGTCTGTAACAATCTCCTTCTACTTTTGATCTAGTACTTATACTAGCTATTGTCAATGGGTTTTCAATCACTACAAGATTCTGTATGTAGGCCGGTGCAATCCCATGCACAGCTTTATAAGTTAACAGGCAGACTTTAAAGAAAATCCTTTGGTCAAGAGGAAGGATATGTGCTCTCTTGTAGTAGGGAAGTAGGTCTTCTGATCGGTCTTTGATATTGTAGATGAACCGTATGGCACCATTGAGGGTTGATCGTAGCTTGTTTAGTCGTGTCTTTGGTAGGTTCATGTAAAGAGAATTACAGTAGTCGAGCTTTGATATTACAAGCTGTGTTACCATCATGAGTTTCACTCCTTCATCCAGATAGCGCCCAATCGTCCTTAGATTCATCATTGTCCAGCTGCATTTCTGTTTGACACTATTAATTTGTCTTTCCATGGTAAGAGACTTATCAAACTTTACCCCAAGACTCTTCCAGCTGTCACCTTTACATTCAGTTGGAGTGATAGTTGTGTTTCCGAACTGAATCGTCACCTCCATTTTGCAGTCTTTAAGAACTTTTGATTTGCCTAGGACAAGTAGTTCTGTCTTCGACTCATTGAGTTTCATAAAGTTTCCAACCATCCAATGCTTGATTTCCGAGAGACATCTATTTATCCGATCTTTGACATCTGCAAGTTCGCTTGGGAAGCTTGGATGAAAAGATATGTATAACTGAGAGTCATCCGCATATAGCTGGATGTCTAGTCCAAATTTGGCAGCAATATTCTGAAGGTCTTTAATGTAGAGTATAAACAAGATGGGCCCTAGTAGGGATCCCTGAGGGACTCCAAAGAGGAGTTCAAGAAGAGACGAGATAGTATCGCCAATCTTTACACAGAAATATATGCTCTCAAGGTATGATCTCATCCATTGAAGGGCTTTCCCAGTTACACCATAATGCTTGAAAAGTTTCTCAAGGAGGATTTCGTGATCAATAGTGTCGAAAGCTGCACTGAGATCCAGGAGTACCACAGCCACGATGTTACCTGCTTGAATCTCCTTGTTTATGTCGTCAGTCATCCTGACAAGAAGGGTCTCACAGCTGTGCTGAGGGCGGTATCCAGACTGGACAGGGCAGTGAAGGTTGTTTGTGTCCAGATGGTCATTCAACTGGTTCAGTACAATTCTTTCCAGGAGCTTGGATATAGCAGAAAGGTTCGATACTGGTCTATAGTTACTTAAACTGTCAACATCAGCGTTCTCTTTCTTAAGGGTTGGCTTAATAACCGCTTTCTTCATTTGAGAAGGAAATGATCCTGTCTCAGTAGACGTGTTTAGGATGTGCAGGAGTACAGGTGTTAGCTCATCCACACAGCTCTTCAGTAGGAATGAAGGAATGGGATCCAGACAGCAGAACTTGTTACTCATCATTTTAACCAGTTTTCTGAGGTCTTCAGCACTGATAGGGGAAAACGTGTGAAGAGTTGAAACAAAATCAGGTTCACTTGAAAGAGCAAGTGTTTCCTCCGGGACATTTTTGGATGCATCCAATTCAATGTCTTTCCGTATTTTGTTAACTTTCTCAGCAAAGAAGTCTTTGAAATCCTCTGACAGTTTTACAGGGTCTTGATGTTTGGGGAGATCCTGTGTCTCGTTACCAAGAAGTCTGTTAAGCTTCTTGTAAAGGGCCTTTGAGTCTCCTGATGATGCTCGAAGCGACTCTTTGTTATAAGAACATCTCTTCACAAACTCTAAACTAACAAATCTATCTCTGAGATCTATGTAGTCTTTCCTGGTACCCTTTCCTTTGCGCCATGCACGTTCGGCTGCTCTTCTCTTTTGACGTAGCAAACTAAGGTCTAAGTCAAGCCACGGCATGGGTTTCTTCCGAAATTTCTTCTTTATAACAGGACAGTGCTTATCCATGAGTTGAGTAAGGACAGAGTTATACAGTGAAGTCGCTTCTTCAGCAGTTAAAGTTGGATCAATAGTTGACAGGTTGGAATTCCTTAGATCATCCTTAAAAATTTCAATGTCTATGGATTTGAAATTTCTGTAGCTCAGAAATTTGCCATTATCATTCTTACTAAGTCGAGTGTCAACATCGAAGAGTACTAGAAAATGGTCTGAGGAAGTTCTTGACTGAACAATGTTAAAATTGCTGATCTTGTTCTCAAGAGACTGGGTAGAGATTACTAGGTCCAGGGTACCGCCCTGATTATGAGTTGGGACTATTGGAACATGTTGTCGGAGGTTGTACTGAGCTAGCAAGTCCAGAAACTTCTTTGGATAGTGTTCATCGGGTCTTTCAACATGAAAATTGAAATCCCCAGTCAAGAGAGGGTTTCCTGGCTTTGCACACAGTATTTTAAGGTATTCTTCAAACTCCTTTAGGAAGTCACATTCTGTGTACCTTGCTTTCTTTGTGTAGGGGGGTCGGTAGATGTTTACTAGTCTCAGCAACTCTGATTCAGCACTCAGAAGTGATTCCATCACTTGAAATGACTTAAACTTGGTCACTTTGGTATTAGGCTTCAGTTCAATCGAACTTCTGTAAACCATTGCTATACCACCTCCACTGCGGTGTTTTCTAGGATCAGAAAGTATGCTCCAGCCACTATCTTTTATCTCAGTGAGTTTTGCTTTGTCGCCATCTCGAAGAAATGTTTCTTGCATAAAACAAATGTCACAGTCTGTTTCCCATAAATGTTCTAAAACACCAACAGTCTTGTTTAAAAGAGATCGGACATTGAAAGTTCCACATCTCAACTTCTTCCTAGTCTCATCTTTTGGTCCTTGACCCTCTGGCGATAGGCGTTTTTTATCTGCTCCGTGCATCCTGCAGTTCTAGACATGACTCGTTCTTTTTCTCTTATAAAGAATGGACAAAGATTATCAGCAGCTTTATGCGTCTTTGCAGCATTTTTCTCTGTGGCACTTTTACTATTAAAGCAGTTAGAACACTTTATCCGATCAGTCCTATTTTTTATCCTGTTTTCACAGTCTTTAGAAGTATGTGCTCCAGCACAGTAGAAACATGTAGGAGAGGCATCTTTTAGCTTGCAGTACTGTGACTTTGCCATATGGCCAAATTGCTGGCAGTGGTAACATTGTACTACATGGAGTCGGTCATATACACGATGTCTTTGTAGGCCCAGGTATATATATAATAGTCACCACATTTTCTGATGACTTCTCTAGCCTCTATGGGCAGTTGAATGACAGCAAATTTTTCTTTGATATCATAGTAGACTACTTTGACATTAGCATCCTTCATACCTGTGTTCTTTTCCAATAGTTCATCAAGGATCTTTTCTTTGCTGTCAAAATCAAGGTGAATGTCAGATATTGTTAGTTTGGGATCTAACTTCTTTGGTTCTACTGACTTTGAATTGACTTTAACTGACTTACACTTTTGTGTCAGCGCTCTTTCCGCTTCTTTCATGTCATCTTCAGTAGTAAAACTCAGCACTGTTGTACCATTACTTACCCGTTCATCTTTAACTCGGACACCTTTAAGAGATTTCTTCACGTCCTTACGATAAACTTCGGTCCATTCATGGTTAGTGATAGTAGTCTCTGTATCATCCTCGTTCACTGGTGACTTGGCTATAGTAATCGTGTGCCTTGCTGGCAGGGGCTTCTCTATTGGAAGGTTAGCTTGCAGGGATTCCGCAGGGGAAATGGCAGCCACTGAAATAGCTTCTTTCAGAAGATTAGGTAGGACTTCACTCAATTGTCTCTTAATTATGTTTTCTAGAGTTTGGCTGTCCTGTTCCGGAAGGGGGACAAGTGAGGTCTTTGCAAGATCAATAGCTCTGGTTGCAATGATGTATAGTTCTTTACAAACCTTGAAAATATGTTCTTTGTTGTTGCTGGTGGGTATATCTGTTAAAATCTTTGATTCGTGGAGTGTTTTCTTACCTTGAAAGGACTTTTCGTTGATTAGGTCGAGCTCTTCTTCCAGTTTCTTCAAGTCATCCATATCTGCTAATGAAATCAAGGTCCTATACCCAAGATAAGCTGTAAGTTTTTAGAAAAACTTAAACAGCTACAGTAACGTAGATCTGGGTGTGTATGATAACAACTTAACAATAGAAACCTCAAATAATTTGTTATATAGTAGTGTTGAAAGTATTAAAACTCATTTAAAAATATATAAATCTGGAATCTGTTCACTCTGTGAACCAGTCCTAAAAAAATTCCAAAAACCCTCCTAAATTAAATATTAAAAACGTCTCAGTAATGGAAATAGTCATACAATTAAGAAATTATCCAAATTCTTAATATCTACCTAAGATAAAAATACCTACCTAAGTCAATTTCTACCTGTAATACACTAAATATTAGGTTAAATACATAGGTGGTGGAGTCAGCACACATTTACCAAAATCAAAATTGTTTAATAGGAGGAGCCTGTGGGCCGAGATCACTGAATTAAATTTGATGAAGGGGATTGTTTACAAATGACAGCTGCATTATGTCATAATCGCTTGTGGTCCATGCCGAATCATTATAAGCATGTTGCAGCTTTAGAAGTGCCTTTTTCAGGCGACTTTTAGCAAGGCTAATCTTGTAGGAGTAGTCAAAGAGCTTAAGTTTAGGTGCAATTGTGTTCCAAATTTTGGTGGATCTTGATATAAAGTCATTAGATGGGAGTTGTGAAATGATAGTGGTTTCCTTTCTAGAAGATGACTGATAATAATTACTGTGTCATAGAAAAGGAACGATGTGCACGTGATCTGAGATACCAATATCTCAATATCAAAAGGATAGTGTCTAGAAACATTCATAGTCCATGGTGGCAGGTATCAAGTTAAACGAAGTTACACTTGTATTATAATCATCTTATCTATTTGACTGAACCTAGCATACATACACAGTATGGAGAAATATCGTTTCCGAAAGTTGGCATTATATTATGGAATGAGCTGCCTCTTGAAATTAAGAATTGCATGTCACTGGAATCTTTTAAAGTGTATCTGAAAAAGTTTCTTTTTAAACGTGCTTATGATATTTATTTATTTTTACTTTTTCAATGTTTCTACTGCTAAGTGCATATAATACCCTTTACCTTGTAATTTAGTGTAACAAGTCTATACAATTTTCTATGGTTTGGAACCTAAATGTGGATTGCTTTTCAGGTTTTCTTGTATCCTGACTTGTTTTCGTGGCACACCTGTGCATTTTAAGTTGTTGTATCACTATATTATAATCTATAAGTTTAAATTATCATTATTACTTTACATTCGCATTATTACTTTACATCGCTTATAATTTAAATTCGACAAAAAAACGGAATAAGACATAATATAACTACATTTTAAATCCTCTCTGTATTGTGTAATAGTGACAACAATACAACATTCATGCATGACAGACATAACCACACGAATGAAATTACTGGGCGGCGCTCAGCCTGTCATTCCGACGAATCTCTATTATGAACATAATAGCCTGAGGTCCCCTAGGTAAGGTTTTGTATGGTACTGTTATTCTTACCCAGGTAAGAATGACAGTACCATACAAAAGTCAAACCTTTTATATATACTATATATTAGCGCTCGATTTTACATGTTACCGTGCACATTGCATTGCAGTAATAAATGGAAAGAAAATGCGCAGCTCCACTACAATATTTTGTAATTTTCTTCATGGTTAATGATGTCAACCCTTCCAGATCATTGCTCTACAAATTAATTGTCATATGTTGTCAGTTGTATGACCCGCCGCGCACGAGTGTGCGGCTCCCTCTGTATCGTAAGATACTTGTATCACGTGGTGACCCCCACGGTCGTTTCACTATAGGGGGAGCCGAGCACTTCGTGCGCGGCGGGTCATACAATTAACGTATGACAATAAGATACCACTTAATGAAACGACCGTGGGTGTCACAACATGATACAACATACAACAAATAAACAAAGCAACGATGCGAAGCAATAATGCTAGTTTGCGCTGCGCGTCGAAGCGGCAAAGTCCTTACTGGGCCGCGCTCAGCCTGTCATTCCGCCTAATCTCTATATTTACAACATTAAAGCCTGGGGTCCTCAGGTAACAAAGTCCTCAAATGATTTTTATCGAGAGCCCCTAAAAAATAAAAACATAGCAATATTATTTCATTGTTTTATTTTAAATAATTTTAGCAACGCATTTGTTGAAATAGCAATGGACCATTACATGGTCAATTTATTTAAATGTAAAATTAAACTATTTTTTCGTTTTGGCGGCCGGTTTTAGTTAACGGGTGATACTCGTAAAATATTTTTTCAAATATTAGGAAAGTCAAGATCAAAATCTACGAGGCACAAGTAGTCTCTATTCTACTCTACAACTGCAACTCCTGGGCTGCACCACTAGCTTCGTTGAATGAACTTGATATTGCTCATCGCAAACACCTCCGAAGAATCCTCAACATCAGATGGCCTACTGGGGTTATTTCTAATGAGGCACTCTATGCTCGTTGTTATGTCACTCCCTTGTCTGTGAGAGTCTCTAAGTTTCGATGGAGAATGTTAGGACATATCTTAAGAGGACAGGAAGACTCACCAGCATACACCTCTATGTTATTTGCTATAAATTCTGATATTTTTATGGAAGGGAGACGGGGTAGACCATGTTTAAACTTATTAGATGTTATTAGAAAAGACTTGACTAGTAGAAATCTTGATATTAGACTTAAGAATTTGACTGATTTCGAAGACCTTAGATTTTTGGCTTTAGATAGGGAGGAATGGAAGAAATTAGAAGATGGTTGATGTTTTTGTTTTCTTTTTTATGCGTTTTGATATCTATAAGGTGCCTAGTTGCTCTAACCAGAGCCCTCTCGCTTGCAGTAGCGCGCGACCGCCGGAGGCGGCAAAGAGGCCTATCCTACTTGTTATGTGAAACAAGCGCGTCACGCAGTACGCGTAGGCACATGGCTATGTGAAGGTGCCTAGGATGCTCTTTTAAAGAGATATTTCGTACTTTGAAAGATTTACTACTACTACTACTATTAGGAAAGTCGACGGGTCCAACTGATCGGCGCGCCTCAGTGAATTATAAATCTACAAGCGGCCGCAGACAGTTAAATTGAAAAAACGATGCGATCTCTGAATAAAATTTTGCAGTTAACGTGAGTCAACATTCATTTGGAGCGCAAATTTATATAATATAAGTTGGACGGCGCTTTTTCCGAGTTTCGCGTAAGTGCAAGTGAAATTAAAAAGCGAGCAAGAGATTAGAAAGCTTAGCAATGTTAACATATTTACATTTCGCCTAACCATGTGATTTTGAACCACTGCGGGCGCGCAGCGCATGTTATGTTTCACGAATAAAAAACTGTAAGCGTAATACAATACAATACAAAGGCTGTAGAGTTTGAATAGAGCAAGGGATTGGCGTGCCAAATTGAATTAAAACTTATTCCTATAAAAGCTTAACGAAAAACAGCTAAAATTTCATTTTATACTATTTATTGTTTAATCGTGTTATCTTACTATATATAAAGCGAGACGATATATATATATTTATTTATCCGCACCATTTTACTGACACCACGGCATCAACTTAAACACGGGTTTCCGCAAAAACCGTACAAGATATAAAACTGAAACTTTTTTAACTGATTCAAATGCTTTAATGGCCTTAAAATCAGCATGAAAAAATCGAAAATCGGCCAAGGAATAAGAATTTTAGTACCCAAAATTTGGACCCCCAAGTGGTGTCAAAAACGCGAATTAAATAGGTAATAATTATTTTTACTGGGAGACTTTAGGGTAGGAAACTGATCCGGCCACCAAAGAGCCTTGACACCAGTCTTAAAGGTTTGACGGGTTCCTGCTAGTTTACATAACTCGTAAACAGGTTTTTGCTAACAACTTGCCATGTCACAGTACAGGCGGACTATATTGCAAAGAAACTGCTGCTAACTGCGCGCGCGCGACAGCAGCAGTTAGCAGCAGTCATGCAGCAGTAGTCAGCAGCAGTTGGCAGCAGTTAGCAGCAGTCAGTAGCAGTCAGCAGCAGTCAGCAGCAGTTTCTTTGCAATATAGTCATCTTGTGGTGTGGGAAGATTTGGAAGCTGTGTTTTTTTTTCAAATTTTAACTTCAAGCAATTGCCTAGCAACTTCCATTAACTTGATAAAATTGAGAACCAAAGCACTATTAATACAAGCACAGGCAGCTGACTTAAAAGATCTTATTGCAGCGGCACACACTTACTATTATTATCATGATTGTACTATAGACTGAAAATCTCTCAAATCGATTTTGGGAACCATTTGTTGTAATGTTTTTAATACTAAATATCTAGATTTATAAAATTTTTAATCGGAACGAATTAATTAATATTTGATAATTTATTCGGTAGTTTTGTCTGATATTGATATTGATTATATTGATATTGTTATTATCTTATAAGGCTAATTCTGGACATAAATAATATTACTTCTTTTAACAAAGGGACTTGGAGTATAAACGACCAAGTTTGCATAAATTTCTATCCAACCAAGAATTCAGGAGGCAAAGGTGGGTGAGTAAACATTATGGTCTGCACTCTCCGATCCTGTATCACCCTGGATTCTTTTCCACGTATCTTTGTAAAAGGTATATATAATTTTAGTTATGCTAATAGCAAGCAACATATTTTTGAAGTGGCTGAAGTTAAAGCTAAAGTTAACTATGAAAAGAAGATTACATCTAATTTAAAGCAGAATAGTAAGTCTTTTTACTCATATTTACGTAACAAAAGGCAAGTGAAATCAAGTGTGGTTTCCTTGGATAGAGGAGATGGTACACGCACAGATAGTTCTGCTGAGTCTGCTGAAGTACTTGCAAGTGCCTTCAGCTCAGTGTTTGTGTGTGAGCCACCTGGCCCTCTTCCTAAAAATGACACTTTGGATTATGATAAAGATGTTATTAGTGATTTGCAAGTTAGCAGTGCTGATATTAAGAAGCAACTTTTAAAGCTTAATATTTTTAAGAGTTCAGGTCCGGATGGTGTTCATCCAAAGTTATTAAAATCGTTAGCTTATGATGACAACTTTGTAGAAGCAGTCACTAAATTATTTAAAATGTGTTCAGAAACGGGATCTCTTCCTGAAGTGTGGAAGTCAGCATCCGTTGTAGCATTGTTTAAAAGGGGTGTTAAATCAGATCCCTTA